ATATTTGTCTAAGGTAATACAATTTCTATGTTTAAATTTATTCAGTTATTCTACCAAAATATTTTAAGCACATTATTTTTCAAGACTTAGTATTTACTTTTAATTTGGAACAGTCCTGTGTGAAGTTATTTCCTTAATTTTGCAAATTGCTGATTTTCTACCTCTCATTTTTTTTCTGTAATCTAGCTACATAACATCAAATTTTGTGTTATATTTGACATATGAAAATCCATAATTAAAGTAAAAAGAAACATGAACTTACAAACTTGACTGATTTCAAAGTAATATCCACTGAAAGAGTATTTTGTGGATCTTGTGTTCTTTTTATATCGCTAACTTTGTTTTAGTATTACTGTTAACTTAAGGAGAATTAGAGGTACTATTATAAGTATTTAAGGGAAACTGATATTCTCTAGTGCACTGTCTTTGGAAACTACTATTTATTTTTTAATTTTTTAAATTAAAAACAAATTCACAGTTCACCAATTCTTAAACTCAAGTCTATGTCCTCCTTACTTTATATAGTGTATCTGGAAATTTTAAGCTTTGAAATTGTTCCTGGGGACTTGTTTCACATACCCTTCACTGTCCTTTTTTCCTTTTATATGCTTTTCTTTCTTTTCAAGAGAGATGTGCTTTTGGAATGTGTTTAGTCTAAAGAAGGAAATGCCTTTTGTCATTTTAATGGAACACTCAGATTATTGCTAAGCAGCAAGTTCCACATAGACACATGACAAGAAAGTGGTTCAATTTATCATAGTTTCCTGTATATTTCTCTCATTGCCTACTTTTGAACTTCAGGCCTACTTCAGTACATCAGCAGAGAAAGTTGAAATAAAGCAGCAACTGGGTCAAGGTGATGGAGAGGGATGAGAAGGGTTGGTATTTGTGCACAAAGCTGGCCTGAGATGACCTTCGCTTAGCCTGGAGTTCTGAATACTGCCCCTTTCCATTTCCCATGTATAGATGCTGCTTTTGAGTAGAGCTGTTCCAATTGAAATGTAGCTCAATCTTCACATGGGCCTATTACCATCTTGCTGTTCATTGTTTAGCTATTGACCAAACAACTGGTTCTCAATTTCCCCCTATGATTTGCCCCTTCTGGGTACTAAAGGCTGAAGGACTGCAAGGAAAGCAATCCTGCTGCTGTGAAGTTGACACCCATGGCCAAAAAATAGTAAGTGATAGAAGATTCAGGATGGTTTCCAATGGTGATGATTCCATAATGAAAATAAGGGACCTGATGAAGGATGCTGCGAGTTATTTTACAGAAAGTCTTTGAGCAAGACTTTAATGATGAAAAGAAATCAACTATATATTTGGGAAGGATATGTATTTCAGGTAGAGGAAATTACAGGTACAAAAGCCTTGAGATGGAAAGGAATTTCGCACGTTGGATCAGAAAGAAAGCCAGTTAGTTTACAACACTGTAAACTAATGTAATCTCTCTTTTATAAAATATAAATAATTCAGCAAGGGGAAGAAGTAAGCAGGACCTTGTAAGCCAGCTAAGAATTTCGTTGTTTATTAATTGCAGAGTGAAGCCATTAATATATTTAACATAGGAGATGGTCTGTGTTTTTTAAAAGATTGCTCTTGTTGATATGTAGCAAATGAACTAGAGGTGGGACAAATTAGAGAAAATTTAGAAGCCATAGTAGTCTTTAGAATCAGATCTAGGTAGCTTTATGTTTAATTTTAGATTGTTCCATGTCACCAAAAGAAACTAATATTTTATTCCCTATTTTCTTATTTAGTAAATTTTCATTCTAGTTAAACAGAAACTTGTCTTTACAAAAATATATTTTATAATTGGAAGTTATTTCTTGTGTGTCCCCAGAGAGTGTCATTTTCAGAGGAAGGCCCTTATTGATAATAACCTTAGAGATCCTGAGGAGCATCATAAATGTTCATTTACAGTTTCTAGCTGACTCAGTTCAGGGCTGTTGAAGATAGCTGCCATCTGTCTTTGGTGCAGAATGGGTTCTTGATCTCTTCATCTTAGATTAAGACACAGATGATTTAACTCTCCCTCTTTGTTTCCTGTGAAGAGCATTTGGATCAGAGTCAACACTATCTGGGTTTGAAACTCAGCTCTTCCCTTGGTTCTTGTGTGGATTTGGGCCTCTCTCTGAATGTATTTCTTCATTTGTAAAACAATGATGATAATTCCTCTTTTAGCAGGTACCATGACATTACCCAGCATAAGAATTCAATAACTACATTAACCATGGATCTGCTTATACTATGTCAAGAATTGTTTAAATGTTTTTAAATGGTTTCCTGAGGTGATGTGTTGAGGCAGGCATAGTTTAATATGCTCATCAGTTATTCTTAATTATACACAATATCTAAGACCTTGTACATATTTCATTTTATACTTGTAATATTTGACATTTTATATACACACACATATGCAGCAGGTATATAGCAGGTTGCATAGTAGAATATCCTGGGGATTCTGAACGCAGAAATTGAAATATGAAAATGAATTTTACAATTACATTTTTTTCATTCAATCACCACCTCAGTCTCAAACTAACGTAAAGTTTAAGAATTATGTAAAGCATTAATTAGTAGGTATAGATCATTCGATGAATTATTTTGGGAAAAAAATAAAAGAATGAAAAAAATTATTTTCTATTCTTCGTGATTGAACTTTAAATGTTTCTTTTAAGGTATTAAATCAGACTTCTCGACTTGAAATACAGCTGCTGGAGAATTCATTATCAACTTACAAGCTGGAGAAGCAGCTTCTTCAACAGACAAATGAAATCCTGAAGATTCATGAGAAAAACAGGTGAGGTTTGTATTCCAAAAATATTTCTGTATGTACTTATTTATATCCCTACCTCACTTCCAATTCATTTTTTTTCAAGTCTGTAAGAGTTTATTGTCATTCTGTTTTTTTATTGATGAAAATGCTGATGTTTTTATATTACATTATAAAAGACATGACTGTATGAAAGCAAAGTTTTACTAAAAGATGAGACAAAACTCAAAAAAAGAGAAAATTTTATTACATGGTATTTAGAGACTTTGAAGAAATAACTATAGAATAGTTAGATGAATAAAAACAGATTGTCTCAGATTCAGAAAGTGGGTCATGGAAGTTGAGACCTTTGTCTTCATAACAAGCCTTGAAGAAGTAGGGACTTTTACTTCACCATTATTTTTTATTTTATAAATACATTTTTTACATTATTCTTCATTTTGTGCATCTTTTCCATCTCAGTTATATACTCCCCATGGACTTTCCACCACCCCTTAACCCATGTGCCACTACCACAGTCCCCTGTGCTCTTCTGCTCCAGTTTTGATCCTTTTCCCCTCCCCTGTAGAATGTCTCTGGTTTATAGTTGTTAGTTGACCTCACATCATACATAAAAATCAACTCAAAATGGATTAAAGACCTAGACATAAGTCCTGAAACCGTAAAATACCTAGAAGAAATATTAGTGAAACACTACACGACGTACACCTCAGTAACATCTCTAAAGATACATCACCCAAAGCAAGGACAGTGAAAGAAAGGATAAACAGCTGGGACTACATCAAATTGAGGAGCTTCTGTACAGCAAAAGAGATGCTACATAAAACAGACACCCCACTGACTGGGAGAAAATTTTTGCACAAAATAAAAATGATAAAAGACTGATCACAAAGATATACAAAGAGCTGATGAAACTCAACATACATAAAGTGAACAAACCAATTCTTTTTTTTAAATGATTTTAAAATTAGGGAATCATTAATTTTTACTATAAAATGGAAGAACTTTCAAAGTATATAACTAGTATGTAAAAATTAACGTTAATACTATATAGCTTACACTCTTAAATGTTTGGTGTACATAACTTTAACATTAATTTTTACCTAGTGTTCTATTGTTTAAACCCCACCATATCCTCAAAATTACTTGATGTTCTGACTAAATTCAGTGACACAAATATTGATAATTTTCAGAAGAATCAAAGTATATAGCAATGGAAAATAGAGCCTTGAAATTCTACAACCTCAATTATTCCTCTGCCAGCCTTACATATGTGCAAAGATAACAAGACTCAGAGTTCTTACACTAAAGAAAGAACAATTTATGTTTTCACCAGAAAATTATTTTCTTGTAAGGCTGATTCAAGAGGTGTTTTTTTTTCCCCATTTAAATTTGTTTATTCTGAACATTATACATGTTTTTGGTCAACTTTATATATGCATTTTATATGTATAAGTCAACCATACTTTGTGAAATGGAACTTGGAGAGCTTGAGATGTGGGATGGCACATAGACTGTATTATCATGAAGTCATTAGCAGATAATAGGCAGTTCAATCAAAGCACTGGCCTCTGTTGGACAAGCATATTGCCTGTTGACTGCATTCTTTTTGGATATTTCCATGACTTAAAGAAATTACAGGTTTTACGTATAATGTTGAGTTAAAGACTGCTCGTTGCTAGAAATAAGTGTCAGTGGAATGGGAATCTGTTCTGTTTCAAGCCAGGAAGACACCTTAGACTTCTCTTATCTTGTTGAGTAGGGAAAGACTCTGTGGAAGTGAGCCTGCCCAAAGTCACATGGCTTGTTAGTCACAAAAGTACAGTAAAACCCAGGTTTCTTCATTCATAATCCTGTCCTTTCCTTTCTAGCCTGTGATCTCTTGATATTATCAGCAACCTGGAAGGATTCCCCAGTTCACTAAAAATAGACTTTAATGACAACAATTATAATTAAACTTTTCCATAAAGAAGGTAAACCTGGCTATTGACTTAGAGCCTGAAAGGGGTCACCCATGCCCTCTGACCTTCATTTATAAATCTAAAATTTATTTATCTTTATATTGTGACATGAGCTGAACTGTATAACTATAAATAAACTTGACAGAACTTGACCCTGAGCTGGTTGTATGATGAACTGTCCTGGAATTGAAAATACCTTTGAAAAGTACCATTTATCCTACTGCTATTTCATGTACACATAGCAGCTACACTTACAACTGCCCTTTGACTTAGGAAGCCACCATACTTTGTCCAGGAATGAATAAGTAAACAATGATAATTTTACTTTAGCCAGAGGTTATTTACTTTAATCATAGGCCATGTGTATATTTACATATTCATAGTTATTCATTGGTTTTTAATAATATGCATTTAATATAGAAAAAGGAGTTTATAGAAAAAAATTAAGTACCAAAATGCCATCATAAAGAGAGCTGCCTATTTGTATTTATAGCTTTGTTTCAACAAAAAAACTTTGTTTCAACATGTAGTTTTGCAAACTGTTTTCTTTGTAGATAAAAATCTTTTCTAATTGATAACTTTATCTTTATTACCATTCTTAATAACTGTACGTATGTCATTTTTTAGGTAACTCAAAGTGATTTCAATTCATTTCTCACTCAATATATTACCACATATAATTTATCTTCTGTGTTGTCATTGTGAATTACATAATTCAGTTCTTGCTCTGTTGAGCCATGTATTGCCCCTTGGTCTATCCCTGACACTTTGACTGTTGGGATACCACAAAACAAAGCATAAACCAAAAAACTGGTGAGGCCTGACAGGGCTCACTCTTCACTACAAAAAAAAGGGCTGTCTTTGAGTGTTACTTGTATTCAAATCTCTCTGCCTCTCTGCTTTTTCTCTTTCCTTTCCTCCGCATGTTCACTGTTTGTTTTTTTTTCTCTGTTCCTTCTACTCTAATTTCAGTTCATGTTAGACTTTTTTGTTTGACTGTCCTCCATGATTCTTGATATAACACCAGCTATTATTTCCTACTGTGAAATTTTCAGCATGAAATTTTATTATTTTTTAAAATTTGAAATACTTAAAAGTTAATCTCTCTCTTACTCCATGAAGCTGAATCAGGTTTGTGCTGTCACGACATTTGCTTATTGATTGCAGGTCAAGAAGGGCTTCTGTGCATGCTGCAGTTTTCTGGAGTATCCAACTTTTGATCTCCATTGCAGACATACCTTTGAAATTTTGCCCTCTTTTAATGCTAATGTCTAAAGAAAAGTCAAGTTTTCTTACCTATATGATTCATACCACTCACTGCTGAGAATATCTATTTCATGATCATAACATCTCCCTCTTCCAGCAATATAGTATTTCACAGTGAATTCAGGGATTTAGATGTTAGTCTGGATTCATTGATGTACTCATGCTGGCAAAAACCTACCTGTATCTTTTGCTCCTACACTGCACCTCTACTTTTATTGATCCTCAGGTATGACTTATATCACACGTGGTTTTGCCATATATATTTTTTTTTAAATCAGTTTTCTGGATGTCTCCTGGCATTGCCATATCTCTATGATATAGTTATTGTCTGTTCCTCTTGAAAGAACAAGGTGTGTCTAGTGGAGTGTTGCTGGTGCATATATTCTTAAACCAGGCATATTTTTCCATGAATTACTTGGAAAAAAATGTTTTTCTTTTTGAAAGCCAAAAATATTCATTTGTGATACACAGAATACTTTCCCTATTCTCTCTGCTTTTATTGTTTATTTTCATATGTGAGATGGAATTAGAAAAACTCTGCCAAATACTTTCTAGAGCAACAAAGTAATGTGCCTGCCCAGCATGTAAGTGGCTGGAAGGTCAAAGACAAGCATGAATCTGTTTGTATATTTTAAAAATAATTTATTGATCATCCCTACCTATTCTTTAAATGAATCTTAATCCTCCAAAGACAACAAGAAGCTATTTCTACACTGAGGCATCTCTGAAACATAGGAACAAGATGCCTTCAGTCAGCCAGGTCTGGTTTGGATCAGCTAATACACTTTGCAAAGAGGATTATCTAAATTAAGCTTTGCTTCCTCCCCAAGGAGTGTCAGGGGTTGTGTCTGAGTATGTGTACCAGCTTTGAGTATGATGGGGCTCGGCTGCCAAGTCAGTGAGCTGGCCCTTAGGAGAGTCCACCGCTTCTTTGGCAGAACCAAAATATTTTATGGACAGGATTATACTACACAATCATGCTGAGAGGTCCTGCTGATTTACATCCTGACAAATTAAATGCATCACTTGTAGGGTTGAAAATGGATTTTTGGCCTCATTAAATTCACTTATTTATTCCCTAAGTGTTCAGACACAAAGCTGGAATAGGATTAGTAAAATTTTCTCTACTGTTTGTTTTCCTAACAAAGTCCAAGATGCTTCTAGTGTGCTTTCTTTAGGAAATTATTTTCTTTTATTTATTATTTTCCAGTCTCCAAAGTTTGTTTGTTTGTTTGTTTGTTTTAACCTTCAACCTTAGACTTGGAAGTAAGTAACCCATATTTTGGAAATTGCACAACCAAGAATTCAAGAAGTGGGAGAAATTAATATTTCCCTTGTACATAGGGGGTTGGTATGAGAACACAGTGGGACATGTTGCTATCCTGCTTCTTCTAATCAAAACATTTAAAAAGACAAACAAAGAAAGATGTCATCATGCAAATTCCTTCAGCCAAACCAAGTATGTATATGGTTTGGTCAACTGACCGAATTTCAGGGCACCTGCCCATCTCTGACTTAACCCCAATTTCTTCCAAAATGGAAGCACTGTCAGACAAAAATATATGTGTGTGTGTGTGTGTGTGTGTGTGTGTGTGTGTATACACAATATGCTTCATCAAATCTTCTGCTTAATCATAGTATACAAAAGTGGGTATCTGTACCCCATGTCTATGAAGATGGGGCACTTGGTTTGGGCTTTCTTGATCCTTGTGTTGAATATGCAAATAATGATTTGGGAAATCTTCAATAAGAACTTCCTAAGCAAACTGAAAACCAGCATGGAATAGCCTCAGTTTTAGC